AATCAATGCTAGCACATTTGTATGTGATATAATACCTTCACAATGATAATCATGACTGTGTGAAAAATGAGACATCTTAGTGTCAAATATAAATAGTTGATGAATGTCGGTTATTAATAAGCATCTTGAAAACTTAACGAATTGGTCGATGATGAACAGCTTGTATGGAAAAAAAAAATATTTTGCTCTCAAATAAATAAGAGAGATTTATTTTTTCTTTTTCATAAAAAAAGAATGTTGAGAAAAAACTCCACATTCAAGCATTCTTGTGAGTGAATAAATATGAGTGAAATATATGAGAAAATCATAAGTCAATTAGTTTAGCTCTTGTGTAGATATATGACTAATTAACCGTAACACCCAATTTTGATAATTTTAATGAATGCTCCAAATTTTATATCCCTTAGAATTTGATTGAATCAGTTTTATAAACTTCTACAAGTTGAACCAATTAATATAATGTTTAGTACTATGCATGAATTTTAAATGGATGAGAATATATAAAATAATGAAGTTGCAACTTTAATCAACTTTAATTGAACCTAAATTCTCCCTAATCTCACATTTTTTTGTTCCCAGTAGACTTTTTTGCTCTTAGTTGTGCATGAGATATGAGTCGGTCTGATGGAGTAAGTTGGCTTAGCATTGATGCGATCTGACATCGTGGTAAGAGTGAATTGGGTGATTCACAGAGATGCTTCTAAGATAGATCAAAAGGTAGGAATCTCTTTCACGATATTTGTGAATTTTATTTTCTTGTGCTTTCATTTTGACACTCACTATGAGTCGTTGTACTTTTTCATTAATTGTCACTGTTGTGAGAGGCGGCGTGGTGTTTGAAGTTGCGAGCTTGATTTTGGCTTTCCGATTGGGTCGTTAGCAGAAATTGGAGAAGAGGAGTGAAAGAAAGATAGGAAGGAAAGAAAAGTGAAGAAGAAAGTGATATGATAGTTTTTTGAGAGAATTACTGCGGAGAAGTTTGTTTGAGGTAAGAATTCATAAAAGAGTTATGCTTGGGGTTAAATCACGAAATGAACTAAGAATTCATGAAATAATGAATTAGAGATTGTTTACACTAAGTGGCGAGCTCAATATAAGCTTGGGGAAATTCTTCGTAGGGTTGTTCCATCAATTCAAGTGAAATAATCTTATGCTAATTCAATAATAATTCGCTGAAGCTAGCCTCTATATTGAAATCTTGATGGACCGAGTCCATGCATTGGAGGCAAAGTTTCATGTTTTTAAAATCAATTTACAAAAATAAAAAAATAAAAAGATTTATTGAATCAATATAATTTTCTTTTATATTTTGATACAATCAGAAGACTATTAAAAGGTCAGCCCATTAAGATCTTCAAAGTGTTTGGTTGAACATAGATTGTCTTATATAGCTAATCATATTAAGTTGTTCATGCATCTTGGTTGAGTAGCTTGTCTTTGTGAACCAATGTATCTAGATAAAAGTGTACTTAGACTTGGCCAATTCTTTTTCGAGCCCTTCAATAGCACATTGTAGCCTCCCTAATATGCAATATACCAGAGTCTAGTATACTGAGATTGTATATGGGTATTATTGTTAGGGATCTTATCTTGACACTCTTATCTTTCTCCAATTGGCATGATAAAAGCATGAAACCTTTAAAAAAGATGATATTAGCTGAGATGGAGGAATTTTGAAGATATCAAATAATTTATGCTATTATTTTATGTTTTGTTCATAATTTTTAACAATCTAATATGCAAGCTAGTTTTGAATTCCTTAGTCATATTTGTCATTGAATTATGAAATATCTTGGTGTTAAATAGCCTAACCACAAGACTAGCCTAAAGTCTGAGCATTTGAATAGTCACCAATTCAAGAAATTATGACAGATGTTCTTCGAGGAATATAAGCACTTTAATGGTGTTAATTTGTGACGTAGTGGTCAAAATTAGATGATCGGGTCGTCAATATGTTTTGTATTATTTCTAATTAAAAAATAAATTAATAATGTTATTACATTTGTGAGCAACCAAAAATACAAAAAAAAGAAAAGAAAAGCAAAAATATAGACATGTAATAAGTATTCAAAATTAATTTTTTATCATTTTCTTTTGCGGGCTATTCCTGATAGACTACAATTATGAAGATTTAATATGATGCATAAGGATGAAACATGATCATCTGAAAATTCTAAGAAGAGAAGTGTAATAATACTAGTTTTGTTTCTTTATAGTGATTAATCAAATAAATCATTTTTACACTAACTATATATATTTTCTTAATGTGAACACACGGTTGTGCGATGTTAGAGATAGAAGGGTTAACTTCTGAATGTTTCAATATAATACAAAATGTGAGGGTGTTCATGGCTATGATGTGTTCTGAACACCATACAAAAGTACGAACACAAAAATTTGAGTTCACTGCAATCTAATTTTTCCACATAGTATCACAACCACTGGTGAAAGCATTAGTAAGTCGACTTCTACTCAATTGGAAAGGTTAAAAGAAGGCATATACTCATTAAGATTTGAGATAAGACAATTCATGTAATAAATGTAGATGAATCATCAACCACCAAGAGAATCACACTCCATATATTATTTTTTAAGCTCTTGAATATTTTATTTGGGTTTAATCAATTTAATATCATCAATTAATTACGTGTTTGTTACTAGTAGAGATGTAACAAACTTTCATCGGATCAACAAATTGACAGAGAGCCTCACAAAACCATCATCTTTACTTTATGCAAATTGTTTTAATGCGTTTTGGTTTTTGTTCTATCATAAGGAGCTGAAGGTTGAACTAATCGGCTGCTAGATGTTCTGATGTTTAGAGGATCTTAATAGCTAGTTTGGATATTTTAGAATTTTTTTGCTCATTTTATACTTATTCTAAGTAGTTGAAGACTCAACTGATGTTTTAATACATGTTTTGATGTTTATGAGTAGGGCTGTCGAAAAAGCTCGTTGTTCGCGAACAGTTCGTGTTCGATTTTTCAATGAGTTCGTGTTTGATTCGTTCTATAAGTAAGCGAGCTAAACGCGAACAAATCTTTTTCGTTCGGTTAGTTAAACGAACCAAACACGAACAGTGATGCGTTCGTTCGTGTTCGAATCGTTATTGTTCGAAATATAAAATAATTTAAAATAATTATATATAAAAAATTTGTGATATTTTAAAAAATTAAATTTTATAAATTATAATATATAATAAATTAATAATAATAATGTATTGATATACTATATTAGTAATATACTAATATAGATATTAAATATTTACATAATATAAGCTATATAATTAATATAATATGTTATTTATATATATTAATATTAGGGATGTCAAACTAGCTCGTCATTCGCGAACAACTCGTGTTTGACTCGCTCGTTGAGAAACGAACACGAACAGTGACTTCCCAACACGAGCTTATTTCAAACAAACTAAATTTCAAACGAACCGAACATGAACACAAGCTCTGTTCATTCGTGTTCGGTTCGTGTAAACCCTTATTTATGAGATATTCGCTATATTCCATATATATTATGTATTTTTTCTTCCATTTGGTTTTCATATTTGGAGCATTTACATACATACCGCCCAATTCCTATGTATTTACATATCTAACACAAACTTCAATTTTTATTAAAGCCGCTTCAAAAAAACCTTTGTAATCCTAAGCAATTAAAACGAATATACAACAGTTAGGCTATACAAGGTGATTCAGAAGCCCTTTTTTTACTTGTTTTTTTTTTCTTTGGTTCGTTTGGTTTTAATTTTTATTTAATGGAACCACTGAAAAATCAATATTTAATTAAATTTTGTATTTTTTTTAAATTTCTTGTAAAAAAAAAAGATAAAATAAAATTTACATTGCATGCAATATTTGATTAAAATAAATAGAGAATTCATGGAATTTAATCGATATTATATATATGTAATTAGTGTTTTTTTTCATAACTGAACTCCAACTAACAATGTGATTTCATTTTTTCATAATAAACTTGATTGAATTGAATTAAATTTTAGTTTGGTTGGTCCGATTTAATCAAATTTTCGATTGATTTGGTTTTTATTTTCTTTTTAACTTTAGATTTCAGTTACAATTGATTTGATGAATTTAAAAAAAGATCCATCCAAACAAGCTGAATGCTCACTTTTAACTAAAGAGTATGTTTTATATATTGTTTTCATCAAAATAAAGTCTGTTGTTTCATTGCATTAACAATACATTCAACCAGACAACAATTGAAAGAGAGTTGATAAGATTATAAAAGAAGACATGAATTTCAACAGGTTATAATGAGGTCATATTGTGGAGCGAGGTTGGTGACAGAGATCCCAAAGCCAACGTCAATTTTATAATTATCAATAATACAATCAACAAAATAATCTCAAATTTGAAAATAAATAAATTTCCTACAATTTATATTTCATTTGTTATTTACTCTCTTTTCTTTGGTTTGCATTCTATTATGTTTATAATTTGATATAAAATAAAATATATTTTTTATTCTAAAAAATATTATTTTATTTATAATTTAATTTGAAATTGGTTCTGATAAATAATGTGACGAATGAAAATAATTGTCAATGACAGATTATGACTAATCAAAGTTGTAGTTGTCTTAAAAAACCCTCGAAACATCTTAGGAGGTTTTTAGAATCACTTCAATTTTTTTTTTTCAATTTTGAATTTTAAATCAACTTAATTTTGTTATTTTTTTATTTAAAATAAATTACTTTTGGTATGATAAAATTAAACAGAATTATTTTCAAAACATACAACAAATCTAAACATTATTTTTATTATCTTTTAAAATGTTTTATTTAAAAGAAAAAAAAATGCAAGTATATATACGAAACAAATATTTTCAAAAAGAAAATAAAAGATAGAAATGACTTTAAAGATTATTTTGAGTATTTTAAAATAAAATAGATTTATTAAAAAAAATAAAATAAAAACACGACCAAATGAGCATTCAAGATCTGGTTGTTCATTTAGATAGACGCATCAGTCAACTAACACATTCGCTCTTGACAAATGACAGCTGCCTGAGAGAGAGAGAGAGAGAGAGAGAGAGAGAGAGAGAGAGAGAGAGAGAGAGAGAGAGAGAGAATAGGAGAGAGGAGAGACCCTTCCCGATCGCATCTCTCAACTGGATTCTTCGCGGCGGCCGTTGATGTCTTCTGGCTCCAAAGGTTCTGAAGATCATGTCTCGAAAGGCGCCGCCGCTATCGCCACATCGCCGAGTGACAGGGAGGTCCAGTATTCCGGCTGGGTTTATCACTTGGGAGTCAACTCTATCGGCCGCGAGTACTTCCATCTCCGCTTCCTCTGCCTCAGGGGCAACTTGGTCCTCATGTACAAGAGGGATCCACACGATGACCCTGGCATTGTTAGTAACCCCATTTTTTTTTCAGATTTTTGAATTCTTGCTTTTTCTCTCAGTGAATTAGATTTTCTTCTCGAGTTTTTCGGGATATCAGTGATTTTGGTGACAATGTTCATGCACTGTAGCATGAACTCTTAGACTGATAATCCAATTTGACAATTCCTTGGTTGGCATAATTATATAGATGATAGACTTCAGTAATATGCCGGAGATTTCTTGTACGTGTATATCTTCTTGTCATTGTTTTGATGCATTTGCTTATTTAGCTGTACCATTTAGCATGAGGGAGTTTTCTGAACTGTAGACTTCTTATCCGAGATTGTGGTAGTCCTGTTTTTCATTTAAGAAAATACGCCGGATTTGTTAGGTACAGCAATTCAAAGCTTGAAATTTATAAGGAGGCATGTATGGTGAATGATCAAAATGGGATGCATGATATTATCAGGCTATGCTTTGTATTTTGCGAGGCAATTATTTCACAGTTTTTTTTATTGCTGATTAGGGGCCGGTAAGAAAATCTGGTGAGATGTTTTCTACCTTTAGTACTGCTAGATAACATTAACCGAGTGGTTGCTGAAGTATAGATCAATGGTTAATAGCTCCTCATGGGTGCAATATTTAGACTGAAAGATAAAATAAAATGAAAAAAAAAAAACATGGTAGCATCTCGCAAAGTTCAAACCCAAAACTACTAATATTTACATAATGACTATAGTCAGAGATCATGCTGCTGTTATTGACTCTCTCAAAATTGTTATCACGGCAGCAAAACTTAGTCAGTCTTACCAAATATGTGGTCTTCATATAATCACAGTACTTCTGGGTTTGTAAGGCATGAGAATCTGTGATGCCATTCTAGGGCTCCTAGAGGGTGCGTAGGAAAGGGATTTTAAGGGGATGCGGTTGTGGAATAGCAAGGGACGGTGTTTGGAAAGGGTTATGAGGCGAAATCAGGTGTTGGGCAACAGATTTGGCGGCCGTCGGCAGCTGTCCTAGCTGAAAACAGCGAGACACACGACAACACAGCACAATACGGAGGTCGAGGAGGCTCCAACTCCTGTTTCTGAGAAACATACATATACAACACTTGCCAAAGCAAATGACATACTACCCAATGTCTCTAAAAACAATAACAATGGCAAAAGTCTTCTCACTCGAAAAGCAACAACATATAACTAGTTCACTGATAGTAAATAACTTAATTAGAAATAGAGAAATAGGAAGAAAATTAGAAATGAAAGAAGAATGAAAGCAAACCTGCTGAATATATGAATAACATAAAAGAAAGCTTTCTCGGTCCAACTCTCCCACGATCTTAGGATCTGCAGACAACAAAATCATGATATCGGGACAAATGCCGCGTCTCATGTCATTCTCCTGGGATACATTGAGCTTCATCTTCTTCCCAGAAAACTTATGGAATGGATCTACGAAACCATAACAAATATATTGTCTTGTTGTGTCCAAGGCGACTTCACTATTAAATATATGCTTACGTCCATTCCATGCAACTCTAAAACACACATGTCATTTCAAAGTCAATCATAGAATAAATATCCATAATTTTTTGGCTTAAACAGAGCTAAACTTGCATATTGATGGGTATTCCATGACCCAATTCTCGAGCCATTAAATATGTAAGATGTTTCTTCCACTCCTCGCACTTAGCTGATTCTTTCCAATAAACAAGTTTGTCTAGAGGAATTAATATTGGAATGAAATCTGTGGCATCTTGGATCACTTTCAGTGTCAGTCACCTAAGATCTAAATTGTCGGTTAGGATATCCAACAACTCCTTCAACATAGGTTCCTCTTTTATGGTATCAGTGCTTTGGACTCACTATCTTCTAGAATAACCAATGTTAGTTCTGCTGGAGGCTCTCTAACGTGCTCAGCTTGAATCACTATAATCTCTCCCATGTCGGCTGAGAACTGATACTCCTCTTTAACGACTTCATTCTCACCCATATCACCGTCAATTTTTCCAACAGCTTTTTCCTTTATAAATGTGATCATCTTCCTGTTTGGGCAATCTCATGAAATATGCCTAAAATCGTGACATATTTATTGGTTTGGATAGTTTTGGGAGTACCAGTAGTCTCCACTTTTTTCTGCACTTTGAATTGGATTTTTCTCGGTATAGGTTGGCTTGGATAATCCATAGGGTATGTTTTTGCTGCTTGATCATGGGGTTGAATTTTGCCAGTAAGGGTTGGCGGTCACTTGGTAATGTTTATGTTTTATCACCTTTAAGGCTAGGTTTTGTACATTAAGTTTGGGCCTATACGACTGCCCTTGTATCTCATTTCTAATAGACGACCGTAGTCCTTCAAGATACCTCACTACTGCGTATTCCTCTAATTCCACCAACTCACATTTCAACATGAGTTAATCAAATTTAGCTATGCACTCTTTCACAGAAGAATCTCTTTGGCGCAGGTGGTGGGGTTTTATGAACATATCCTATCTGTAATGCGGGAAAATTATTTGTGTTGCATCTCCATTTTCATTTTAGACCCAGTGGAGAATACACTTAAGGTTTTTGCACAAAAAAAAAAGACGAAAAAAGAAGAAAAGAAATGAAAAAAAAGGAGTTCTTCTTGAACTTGATAGTTATCAATTTAATTATTTTGCCTTGGGAATATTTTTTTACGAAAAAATGCGTCACATTATTTGGAGCCACTCAATACTCTCTTTCCGATTCATGCGATCGCCAAAATCGGATAAATCCATCTTTACTCCAAGATTATGACTTTTCTACTCATACTTCATGTCAAATTGCTAGGGTATTGATTCTTTGTCATTTCAAATTTTTTAATGGAAGTGATTCACTTCCTCACCCCAATATGGTGAGTCACTGTTGTGGCTAAGAGTGACATCACCAGAATGTCTTCTCTCAAAGTCGCCAAGCCTTTCTTGAAGTTGGAGAATTTCCTTCTACATAGTTTCCATGATAAGTTCTGGGACACCTTGCTGAAGTTTCTTTTTGGCGGCATGACGACCTTTTCTCCCAATCAGATTTTTGGTAGATGTAGGATTGTAAATCAAGATTGGTCAGTTTCGGGGTGAAATTTTAGTGAAGGCCGGTATGTTGATCTTGAAAATTTAGGGTTGGAGCTAGAAGTTGCTGTAGGATTGACTTTAGTATGGCGGGGATATATTTTTTTTAGAATTTTAAATTTGTGAGAAGAAAGACAATTCCCTAAAAATTTTACGGTTTGCTGGATTCTGATATTAGATGATACTGTTCAAGGGCTTCTAAAAAGTTTCTAAGAAATAAATTTTGTGGCGAGGTGGTTCTGGAATAGCAATGGCAGGATAATATCGGTGGTTGACGGTGAAGCGCAATCAGCTGTTGCGCAATAGATTTGGTGCTGTCAGCGGCTGTCTCATCTGAAAATGGCAAGGTGGATGATGAAACAATGTGCTACGGAGGTCGAGGAGGTTCCACCACATGTTCCTGAGCAAAATACAAGCATGCCACTTGTAAAATATAAAATAATGTCTTGAAACACGACAACAATAACAAAAGTCTCCTCAACCTCTAAATTAACAATATATAAATAGTTCCCTAATAGCAAATAGCTTAATTAAAAATAGAGAAAAAGGAAGAAAATTAGAAGAAAAGAAAAATTGATGAAAACTTGAGGAAAATAGGAATATCATAAAAATAAAGCTTTCTCGGTCCCGTTCTCCCGTGATCGAAGGATCCGCAAACAGCATAACCATGATATCGTGGCAAATGCTGCGTCTTGCATCAATCTGTCTACTATTGCTGCATGTTTAGGTTCATTGATGAGATGTTGAAAAACCTAGGCAAATTATTCAACATATGATCATATAATTCATGGTTTTATTTTTCAAATACTGATTATACTACCGTACTTAAATATTTTTTATGCCAACAACAATGGAATACTGAAGTTTTCTGAATGTATTCCATTGATAACTCAATGGGATAAACTAAATTAACACTATCATTTTATTGTCCGTGAGGGTTTGTTTCATCCTTCTATTTGTGCAATAACTTAGTCAAACTTACGCTGTTTTCCCTTTCTACTGCCAATGATTTATGGATTAGCTTCATTTGTAAGCCTGGAATGCTGGAATCTTGATTTACAATGTTGCTGCCATGTTATTTGTAGGTTTTATAACTTTAGCAGGTGTAATCTCATGAACTCCCAACTTTTTGAAATTTCCTTGCCCACAATTATGATGAATTATTTCACTTTTGAATTGTTTTCCTGTAACTGAAACCGTCCTTTTGTAAATTTCTGTGAATATTAATAGCGTCCTTTCTCAATTTTTTTTACACACTTTTGTATTAAGCATCCTGTAAGAATTGGTTTCACTTACTGTTTTTTACTTTTTTTTTTGTAAAGTACACCTTCTTTATGCTGTATGTTTTAGTAATATTGCCTCTTATAGAATGACCATTGGTCTCTTTTTACAATATTTTTATCCCAGCAGCATTTATTTATTTTGGTTAAGATTTTCAGTTTGAAAGTTTACTCGAGTGTATGCCATAATGTTGTATCAATAAAAAAATTATTGATAAAATGCAAATTTGACAGCATTTTTCTTAACATTCTTTTATGTGCTGTTACTGTAGAAACCTATCAGGAAAGGCTTTGTTAGCCATTCACTCATGATCGAGGAACTCGGGCGTAAGGAAGTCAATTCTGGGGTAATTTCTTGTTAGAGTCGCTTTTCAGTGGCAGGAGTAATCTTTTTGTTTAGTAATTAAGATATATTAGTTCTAAATGAATGATTTCTGTTCCATTTGCTTTTCAGAATCGTTCAAGTTTTCTTAGCCAACTTTCTGTTCATCTTTTGTTCTAAAATATTTTATAAGTTTGCCTTCTTATGCGTATGCCTCAGGTAAATCTAAAGCCAAAGCTCTTTTGTGCAGGAATTTTTTGCAATCAGGTTTTATAATCGTTTGGATGAGATGAAAAAAGGAGAAGTATGTAATTCTTATTTTACACTTTTATTTTGTTATACACACACAAACACACACACACACACACACACACACACACACACACACACACACTATCATACAATAAAATATGATTTATGGTTCTTTCTACAAAACTTGATAATATCTTTTTTAGTCTTCTCTTTGTGATTGTGCGTTCAAAACATCTTTTTCTTTCTTTAGTGATGTATTTTACCATGCTAGAGCTCCTTTTTTTTTCTGGACTCTGCACCAAGTTCGATGCTTCTTTTTGTATATTTGATGTCAAACAATTAAGTTCTAGATGAAGCATTGGTCTTGTATCATACTTTTGAGATAGTGAAAGCTATTGCTATACATTTTTTTCTGCATCATTTTAAACTATTCTTGACTGATTCTTCTAAGATGCTATCAGATTGCTTGTGCTACTGCTGGAGAGGCGCGCAAATGGATGGAGGCATTTGATCAGGCCAAGCAACTTGTATGTAATATCTTTTTCATATTTATATACATATATTAAAATCATTTTTGTTTTGCACACTTAACTAAATTACCAATTTTGCATGCAATTGTTCGCTTTTTTGAGATGCTGAATGCACTTCGATAAACACACCTGTAACATGTTAATTTATCTATCATACTAACCAGAATGTGAAGAGACTTAGCTCAGGAGCCATCATAACTGAAAGCACACAACGTTCTCATATACATTCATAATAGGCAAGCTCTTATGGAGAAAATATTATGTTGAGTAGATTGTGACCTTTTAGTTCTTCTTGGGTGGGAGACTAGAAAGAATCCATTGTGTTGAATAGAGACAATCACTTTTGCTAGGATGTTTTTTTTTACTATCCAAAAATAACATAAATTCCCAATTGTCATTGTGAAGCCACTAGTATAAAAGTTATCCATGAGCTGGGAAGCAATCCTGGGGAGATTGCCGAATGACCAAACCGTCATAAGATTACCCAACTTCGCCTCGATGCCTTGGTGACATTAGCCACTACCAATAACAGTGGTTGTTCCCTTCAACTATGTAGAAATTTGGACCCTTGGAAGAATTATTGTTGATAACTAGAGTGTGTAGTGAGTGTGCAGCAGAAAGCCTTGTCGGGAAAAGAAGACACTAGGGATTTTCCTGACAACTTTGCGCCAATGACTTCTCCAACCCTTTGTGCTTTACCATATTGTGGATAATCTTATACCCAAATTTGTCACCTTGCTTGTATTGTGCTTACTTTCATTATTCTATTGTATTGTTGAGAATAAATGAATGCCATGGTTAGATTGGTAGAGTACTCCTGTTTGTCAATGTTATCAACTTGTTTTGTTTCCTTAAAATGCTTGTTTGCATTGCGTTGAAATTAACTAAAATTCTAAAGTAGAAGTGAAAAGTGTGGCGAGTGCTGCCCAAGGAAAATGCCAATATGTGATATTAGTGCTCGTCAATTCTATGCGATCTTTGATTCCTATTATGATTGTCATATTAATGTGCTAAATTTTATAGAATGCAGGATGAGTAATTGACATGTCTCGACTCTAACTTGCTTTACCATGAGCTTAAGGTTGTCTTATGTCCTATATTGTTGTAATGGATATCCTTAGACAAAGTGGATTTTCATTCACATTGTTAGGTATGACTCATATACTAGATCAGGGACAGATGCTGGAGCGGATCAGAGCGAGTCAGCGGAATGGAGCGGAATTATCTCTGTGTTTCTTTCTGGATTTGTGTCAATTCTTGCGTTTTCTTTACCCTAAAATTCTCAACACACTTGATCTATCTTCATCTTCACTTTGGTTTGGAAATGCTTGTTGGTGGCACAACAAGTCAAAATTGATTCACACATTTGCTTGAGTATAGGTTTTACTATCTCATTTAAAAAAGGATACTTCTTGTATTGTTAGTCAGTGTCATGTATACCAGATGATAGAGAGTTTCAAAGAATGTACTGGCTTGTACACTTCTCTTTTCGTCTCTTAGAGTCTGTTGAGTTAAATTGTCTTATGGATTTTGTATTAGGATTTCGTAGGACTATACTGGCTATGATAGTATACTTGTGGCATTAGATAGTCACTTTTTTTTCAATGATTCGAGGCTACTCATGCATTCAAATAGCAAAATTTTTCTTTAGGTAAATAGTTAGGTTACTTATGTTATCCAAGACAATTATATTTGATATAGATGTTATTTTTATGTTCTATTTTTGTAAAATTTTATAGAAATTATTAGGTACATCCTTCAAGTTTCCCTTTTCACCTTAGCATTAATGGCCAGTCTTATGTAGCTATTATACTATTTCATTGAAATTTTTTTTGTTGATTGAGATACACATCTTTGACTACTAATTTCACATATAATAATACTATTTGCAAATTTGGGCAAGACACCACTTGAAATTGTTGAACGACTAAATTTCAGAAAGCCTATAGATTGTCTTTTTGTCACTGCATCCCAAAGATTGACTTTTGTAGAAATTTTAGAACGAATATTATTTCTCGCTCAAATCACATGCATTACACTTTTCTACACTTATATAATAAAGAAAAGAAACCAAATAAGAATCCTTCCGAATATGAAAGTCAAGAAAAAGAAATATCTAATAAGGAAATACAATTTGTGAAATATTATTTTGAAAAAAACAAATAAATACCTTCGTAATGCTGATTGGCAATTCCATACTCTACCTCAAGCTGGGTTGTATATATTGTACAAACCAAGTTTGGACTTCAATTCAACATGATTGATCTTAGGTAGATGACATGCATCAAATTTTCATACTTTTTATGCTTAAATCGCAATAACTTTTCACTCAAAATATATTATTTTAAGCTTTTGGAAGGTTGGAATTGTATTTTGCAGGATACAGGAGGATTGACACGAAAATTGGAGTGAAATGAGGAAATTTGAGAAAAGTAGCCTCGGTGTAGCCACGCCTGAAACTGGCATGACCACGCCACCTAAGCAGCGTGGTCACGCCTAATTGCCAAGCAGGTCACGCATTGGAGCCCTTCATCGTAGCCACGCCGAACCACAACGTGACCACACTGCCTAACCCAAGCGGATGACATAATTACGTCGTAGGTCGGGTGTAGTCATGCCGGTGTATATTTTTTAACCATTGCTTTAGGGTTGATTTAGCGAATGGAGTGGTGAGTAGCTAATTTTCTGAAAATTTGGAAGATGACGCAACAACAAGAATTTTTGAGGAAGATAGTGAGAAGTCTATTAATTTTTGAGGAAGATAGTGACAAGTCTATTGTTGAATCTGCTTTGCTTGTAGAGCATGACTCTAGGAGGTTTAAACCCTTAGACCTTACCTTGCACACCAAGCCTCAAGCACCATCCATAGAGGTAGCCCTAGATTTGGACTTGAAAGCCTTTCCCACTCACCCAAAGTACGCCTACTTAGGGGACCTTAGACCTTACCTGTTATCATATCTGCTGACTTGACTATGGAGCAAGAAAATAAGCTCATGAGGGTGCTTAGAGGATTTAGGAGGGCATTAGGTGAACCATAGCTGACATCAGAGGAACAGGGACATGTGCTTAGCGTTGACTCACAAAGGAGACTGAACCCCATACTTAAGGAGGTTGTGAAGAAGGAGATTCTGAAGTGGCTTGATGCAGACCTTATCTACCCCATCTCAGATAGTGCGCGAGTGAGTCCAATTCACTATGTACCAATGATTGTGGTCACAGTTGTGGAGAATGAGAGGAATGGGTTGATTTGCACAAGGACTGTTGTAGGATGGAAGATCTATATTGACTATAGGAAGCTGAATGCCGCCGCTAGGAAGGACCATTTTTCTCTACCTTTTCTGGACCATATGTTGGATAGGTTAGCAAGACATTCTTTTTATTGCTTTCTTGATGGATATTCATGATACAACCAGATTCCTGTAGTCTCCGAGGACCAGATAAGACCACCTTCACTAGCCCCTATGAGACTTTTGTCTTTAGGAGGACGCCATTTGGACTATGCAATGCACCAACCACTTTTCAGCGTTGTATGATGTTCATATTTTCTGACATGATTGAAACTGACATAGAGGTTCTTATGGATTACTTTTATGTGTTTGACACTTCAATTGATTCATGCCTCAATAATATTTCAAAATTTTTACAAAGGTATGAGGAAACAAATTTGGTGTTGAATTTAGAAAAGTGTCAATTCATGATGACTGAGGGGATAGTCCTGGGACATAAGATTTTAGAGAAGTATGAAAGTTGATCCTGCCAAGATTGAAGTGATACAAAAGCTTCCACCACCTACCATCATGAAAGGTGTTGGGATAAGCCTTATCTATTTAGGAAATGCAAAGACCAAATCCTTAGGAGATCTTTGCCATTGGAAAAGGTCAACGATGGGTCTATCATGATTTAGAATATGGAGGGCATTTTGGTGGATACAAAACTGTTGCTAAAATTTGACAATTTGGATTTTATTGGCGTGCCCTTTTTAAGGATGTTAATTAATATGTGAAAACTTGTGATATATGTCAGAGTGTAAGAAAGATTTCTAAAAGAGATGAGAAGCTCCTCAATGCGACATTGGAAGTTGAGATTTTCATTAACTAGAGCATAAAGGAAACAATAGTGTAATAGATTAGTGCCTCCGAAGATTAAGCTGGAGCCTATGCCCCAATATGTAGCGCCTAGGCGCCACTTCCTCTGTCGACGCCTATGCATAGGAAACTAGCGCCATAGAGTTGCGCTTAGACGTCAATTCAAGTTAAAGCCTCATTTGCTCCATTTGCTTCGTTTCACTCCAATTGATTAACTTATTATACATGCATAAAAAATATGGAATTGCCTTTCATTAAAGTGCAATTTTGTAAAAAAAAAAAACTATAAAATTCAAGAGGAAAATTAACCTATTTAAGAACATGTCAAAAATCCCCTCAAACTTTACTGTTACCTGACCTCAAATAACTCTGTTATTTTAGAAATCAAATGTTTTAACTTGTGGTAGTGGGTTCCATTAAAGATTTCTATAATTTTGCCCCCAAAATGTGTTAGTGCAACTTTTAGAAAAATTTTCAATAAATCAAGCTAGAACTAAGATATAAGAACATCTAGTAATCAAGTTAGGAATTAATTGTTATTTGTCCAATTAGGAATCCTAGAAAATTAAAAGATAGAATTTCTTGAGAACACTATTAGTAAAAATTTGACTAGTACATTTAAGAATTGACAATAACTCAAAACTGTAACTAAATTTCTTACTTTGAAATGATTCAAGTGAAGTCAATTTTTAATTAGACATTTCCTCGAGCTTCTCCCTGCATTCAATATATATATATATTTTTTTTCTCAGGATCTTTTTAATTCTTACTCTTTTATGTGAGTATTAATATTTCTGGATAACCTTTAATGATTTTGAATTTCACCATCCTCTTTCTAAAGTTTAAAAATTATCATATTTCTTTACTTGATAATGTGTATTAGTATAAAAATAATTTTTCATTGAGTTTCAA